TTGAGAACTTTTCAATGTTACAAGATAATGCAACTTTATCTTTAAAATTTAGATTATTATATGAATTTACCTTTGTCATTATATTGATACTAACGCCACAAAGTTTTTTTCGGTATTAGTGATACCCCAAAAATGTGTGTTAAACATTGTGCATTATTGTTGCGGTGACAGAGAGACAAGACACAAATAAATGTATTAACAATTACGATAAAGATTCGTGTCTTCTCTACCTTCGCTTTCTTTTTTTCTTTCACTTTGTTTTAGCTATATTTTTCTTTTTCTTTTCTCTACGTATTTAGAAGGTTTAACTATTTTGCCATCACAAGCCTCTATTATAATAAATTTATTATACGCTCGAAGTTGCGTAGTGGTTGATTAAGTTGAGCAACGAGCGGACTCCGTTTGATTTTAACCGATATTCGTTAAATGTTTAATGATTTTGGTGACATATACCGTTATTAGATTAACTTGAACGTTTAAGAAATTCTTAAACAGCTCTAAATAAAAGAAGCTACTTTAAAGTCTTCGCATGTTTGGTCAAGCTTTTTAAGGTTAGACTTACATAAGTGTTTCATGCTGTCAAACCAACTCTTCTCTCTTTTCTATTGCGCGCATAAATTTAAAATCAACATTCTAACAAATAAATTTTCCAAAAAGCTTTAGAATATTTCTATTGATAGCATAATATTTACTTCGCCTTTCACCGGCATTTATAAATGGCCGTGTCTGTAGCGAATTATCAAAGCGAACAAAACGTACCAAAATTGAATTCTTTGGGATATGACGATGAAAGTGTTTCGTTAGCAAAATGTTTACCTTCACATCCGCAAAAACCTTCTCGTCTTCCTATTTTTGAGACAGCAGTGATACAACAAAATGGTGTTGGGAATTCCCAACGTAACGCACCACAAGGACATGTGCGTAGTAACGCTAATATGGGATCTCATCATCATAGTATGAATTGTGGTGACTTTTCATCTAATATGCAGCAACAGCCGCCTTCACAAAATCGTAATGGATGCAAACAGTCTTTCTCACAAAGTCGGTCAGAAAAAATTCGAAAGAGAGCTTCCAGTTTTAACGAAAATTTAGGGAAAAATAAACCATTGCAATCATCGCAAAGTCTCAATTCTCAGAAAGTCGATAAACAAACAATTTCATTTCAACAAGGGGAAAAATCTTCTTCATGTTCTAAATCTCCTAAATCAATACAAGGATCTGAACAGTCGCCTATTCAATCACAAAAGCCGTCACAACACATAGTTCAAGAGAGGTCATCGCAACCTATAGATCAACAGCAGTTACCTAGCCAATTAGATCAAAAACAAAAATTTGGGGACTCTACTAAAAAAGTTCAACAAAAAACCGTGGAAGAGAAATTGTCTACACCGACAAATCAACGCCTAGAATTAGATTCACCTAAAAGTCATGATCAAAAACATTCTAATGAAAATTCACAATCAACAAATGATGATATTAAATCAAATATTGCTACCTCTACTGATAGTGCTGTTGTGTCCAAATCTCAGAACTCAGCAGGACAACAATCATCTAATCAATTATCTTTCAATCATACAAATGACCTCCGGAAGTCTTTTACGAAGCGTTTAAAGAGAGTATTTAGTCTAAGTAATATTAAACAAGATGATGTTACTCAACTTAGTTCATCAACGTCAAATTCAAGTTCACCTTCACCTCCGAGTGCTTCTGTTGTTAAACCTAAATTTTCATCTCTTCGAGTAAAAGGAAAAAACCACATAAATAATTTAAATGAGAATAATAAAAATAATAATATAAAGCAAACTATTAAGAATAACAATGTTGATAAAGATGTATCACCAACTAAAGGAGATATTGATGTTGAAATAATTAATAATAAAACTGGTTCAACATCATCATCCAACCTTCGTCGTTCATTTATTGATATACAATCATTATTCGCAAAAAATGACAAGAAACAAAATAAAGAACATAAGCATCAACGTCAACCTTCACAACAAGAACAACGACAATTTCGAACTTCATCTTCAGACCGCTGTTCTAGTCAAAAAAAGCGATCAGAAGATAAAAAGCGGAATTCTAAGGATGAAACTGAT